CCAATTAATCATGGGAAACACTATGGAAGTACATTAAGAGCTGGGAGCTTAAAAGCAGGTAATAGAAAGTACCCCTATCACCATTACTTTGGCTGCTACCTTTTCCTACAAAGTCACCCTGGCCATAGCAGAGTGTATGCCATATTTTAAGTATATACATATTGAATTCTGAAAGCTTATACAAAATGTTTGGTGAGGTAATAATGAATCTTGTAATAATATATTATTGTATAGATAAATTGTTTGTAAGTTAGGCTTTTTATGTTATTTATCACAGCATCCAACCCCACATTTATTAAAGTTTATAACCCAGACAAATGACGGGTACCTCAGCTTGTTAAGTAATAAAACCTTATTTGCAAAGAAACTATCTGCAGAGGCTGGTCCAATAATTATTCAATTAAATTCTCTGATGATTTCGGGTTTAATCTAACGTGATTTCAAGCTAGTAACATGGAATCAAATGCATACCACAATGTAAAGGAGGTGTTGGCAATCTGGTTGATATTAATTTAGAAGAAATGAGTACAAAAATGTCACATTTAGAAACAAGTATGTTCTTTAAAACATTTATCATATTTCCATAACCTGCACTATAGTTAGTTAGATCCATTAACTTGACTTGTATTTATCATTTTTCTAAACATGATGTAAACTTACACCCAATATTAATAATGGAATGGAATTTACTCTAAACAATGAACTTTTAATTAAAGAAAGCTTATCTATTGTAAATGAACTTCCAACTTTAAATAATAACACAGCTTCACAACAATTAAGTATATTCTGAATAATATAATATAATAATATTTCAATATTGTTGAAATATCCTATTCTTTCTTGTTTGTTTTTTAAGTTACTTCATCATTTTATTCTGTATTTTAATTACTCTTTATAAAATATTTGAACCTTATACATTTTTTACCTAATATTTTATCGTGTTCAATATAGCTTTCTTAAGATGGAATATGTATATTCCGAAACGTTCAAGAATTAAATGTTTGTTGCTACACACACATTCAAATGTTAGTTGTTGCTGCCTTCATTTTTTTGTTCACCATTAAACTTCCATTCTCATTGAATGAATCTGTTGCTAAAACTAAATGTAGTTACAGGGATTAGACTTCCCGATTTTAAAATGTTATCCTAAGTCTCCCTTTTTTTTATATATTTTTTTGTAATTGTAACTTTCTAAAAGTTGAATTTGTAGTTTGAGTTTCTGTCATGAGTTAGTCAACAGATACATTTTTGTAAAATTAAGTAGATAAAAATAACACTGATAAAAACGTCTTATTGGGCTATTTATATTTATCAGGCCGATCGATATGCCTATTTACACCATTGACTTCAATCTAGCTGAGCCAGATATTGTGCAGATTAAAGGTAAGAAAAGAGTGGCTGACGAGAGGGCTAACCTCTACCGGCCCGCCTTCTCCCACCCATCCCCCAGGATCAAAATTAAATAACGCATATGTTGTTGTTCTTGTTACAAACGGGTTTAACACTCTAGAATATTAAGAGGCTTTTAAAGAAAGGATTAAACTACAGTCAGTTAATCAGAAAATTATCTTAAAAAAGGAAAAGGAAATTCTACACAGACTACAGAAAATTGATGGTGTTGTGATTAATTTTCTCCATCCAAGATCAATTTCAGGAAGTAGTTTAAGCTGTTAAGGATTTACTCAGCATATCCTGTGCTTCTGTTGTTATAAGGCAGGTTGCAGCAGACGATATGGTGCTACTATTGCATACATCAGTGACCACGTTATATTACACCACCAAAACAAAGTGAGACAGTTGAAAACAAATGGCAGGTGCTGTGAAGCATTCATTTAAAATAATTATCTCGAGGATGAGCATAAATGACAGTTGGTCAGACGTTTACGACAAATTCCTGACCAATAAGAAGTTGCTCGAAAAAAATCTTTCGTCAGAAACATCGGTGGCAGCAATGATGTATGCTAAAATGTCATTTAAATGTTTACATGGTTTAATTTCCAACAGTGAACAGAGCGTAGAGAGCCAACCCATTGTTTACAGTGTGGTAGCCAGTGTAATCTGGCTCGATTTCGTGGTAAGTACAATTCTATGATTCATTTGATATGTTTAAAACATGGAAAATTGAATAAACTTGTTCTTTTGTGACTCCTATTACGACCATCTTGGATTTCAAAGTGGTCGCCATTTACAATCTATCGTGTTAAATATTTTGGTTTCGAACACACAAGTGTTTCATCACGCACACATATGACTTTGAAGTATTTTAGTTATATGGGGGTTCCATGTCACGTTTATAATGTTTGACACCAAACATTTGTCTAGTAGTGGCAGGATCATACAACTCTCTCTCAACCTATATTTCTTCAACATACCTTCTCAAAGACTTCAGCACTACAAAAAAATTCAATTTCATCTATTTATTTCCAGTAGACCATCATATATGTAGTAGTTCCTTATTCCTGCATATCCAAATCAAGAGTGAAAACAGTTCTTCTTTCTGCCCCCAATATTAATATTTATTGATAGAATTAGAGTGGCAAAAAAAGGTTGAGGAGTTGTAGGGGGGGAATTGTACAGCATTCATTTACAGAATATAAGGAATTATAGACTGCCTATGTAGATATAATGCCCCTTAAAATCAACTGTAGCAGGTCGATCTTACACACTAGATATTTCATCTCAGTAAATGTTGTGTAAACCTTGAGGAAAGGCTCTCCATTAAGTATGTATAAAGAAATGATTCTATGAGAGATCTTTGAGTCTGGCCTTTTTTACTTCTTCTGAACACCAAGCTTCTAATTTGTTTGTTTATTTATTGTGAATTTCGCGCAAAGCAACACGAGAACTATCTGCGCTAGCCATCCTTAATTTAGCAGTGAAATACTAGAGGGGAGGCACCTAGTCAACACCACCCACTGCTAACTCTTGAGATTGACCATCAAATTATAACACCCCCCACGGCTGAAAGGGCGAATATGTTCGGTGACGGGGATTCGAATCCGCAACCTGCAGATTGTAAGTTGAGCACCTTAACCACCAGGCCGTGTCCAGGCCCCAAACTACTGGATGCTTAGCAAATCTTTCTCCAACTAGAGTTAGTCTGGGAATGTCCAAAAGGTTGATGACGTAATTTTCTTACTGTTGCGTCATCGAGATCATGTGATTCTCACGCTCTCTACTTTCTAGAATTATCCTGTACTTTGGCGAATGTTCTAGTTCTTATTAGATATAGGGTAGGCGGGTATATATAAGAGGGGACAACGTGACGCGGGGGATGTAATGTGTGTGTAGATAGTGAGT